GAGTTTGTTTCTTCACCAGAACAGATTTGGAGAAATTTAGCATTACGTTACTTGCTCCCCAAAGGATCCTCTGCAGTTGAATGGGTGCCGTCAGAATGAGAGTCCAAACAGCTGATAAAAGCATCACAATAATCCACAAGGAATCCACACCACTCCAGTCCAGCAATTAATGTCTTGTGAAACAAAAAGCTGCAATTTTGTTAGAAACAAATCCGTCATTAAGATGTTTCTAACTTCATACTGTTGCGTCTAAAATATGAGTCCTCAATCCATAATATTGCTTTCTCCAATGAAAAAATCGAATCGAGAGAAATATGCACGGACCAAGCAAAAACAGTTCAAATATGTAGGTAGATTTTGATGTGAGAGGACAACAGTGGATAGACTTTTTTTTTTACTGGAGGAAGTGTTAATATTAATATGAACTGAAGCAATGGTTTAAAATTAAAAACATCTTGATGGATTTGTTTCTTACAAACATGCAGCTTTTCACTTCACAATATGTTAATTGATGGACTGGAGTGGTGTGGATTATTGTGATGTTTTTATCAGCTGTTTGGACTCTCATTCTGACGGCACCCATTCACTGCAGAGGATCCAACAACAAGTGATGTAATGCTACATTTCTCCAAATCTGTTCAGATGAAGAAACCAACTCATCTACATCTTTGATGACCTGAGGGGCGAGTACATTTTCAGCAAATTTTCATTTTTGAGTGAACTATTCCTTTAAGAGCTTTGGCACTTGTTTGCATGAGAAACTATCTGGATATTGCATTGAAAGATGTTTGACTTTGTGTTTCAGAAAGTCCACGAGATGCTGAAGAAGGGCTGGGATGCTGAAGGATCTCCATTTAAAGGCCAAGACTTTGACCCCTCCTTGTTCAACATCCCACACAGTGCTGTCCAGTTTTGAGGTCGCATGACATGCCAGATGGAAAGTCAGCACTTACAGTAACAAACGTACACACACTGAAGTACAGTGACGGTGTTGGTTTCTTGCGGTGCTATAAAATGTCTGCACTGCACATCTCATGCCAATATAACTGATTCACTGACACTGATAATTGTCTCATGTTTAGTTGCCATGCAAAATGGGACATTGATCATTTATAATTTTGAGTGTTTTATGAAATCAGTTGCCTGCGGTTTTCTTTGGCCACGTGTGTCTGTGATCTCACATTTGCCAAGTTATTCGGGCTTATTGATTGTTAGTTTTCATACTATTTCAGTGATCTACAATAGCAACAGTGAAATAAAGTTTCATCAGATATGTTAAGGGTTTGCACTGTTTCTTTAAGCAGATTGCTGCAGTTCACACGAGAAAGAAATTCTTTCCTTCACTTGTTTCCATCATTTGCATCAGATTTTTGTGCCTGAATCTAATAAAACCTTTTGCAAACATTAAATTTGTCTTATTGTTTGATTGCTGTCACACTGCATTAGATAACAAAGTATTGGCACAAACACACTTTTCAAGCTAAAAATGTCATAAAAATAATATATATGAAATGATAAAACTACTACTCTTTAGTTCACCCCACTCATTTTCTGTAGGGTTCAGAGGACTGGGATGGCCATGGCAGAACTTTCATTTTGTGATCCGTGACCCATTTTTGTGTTGATTTTGATGTTTGTTTTGGAAGATCCAACCATAGCCCATTATAAGATTTCTAGCACAGGCAGTCAGGTTTTGAGATTTTTTTTCATGTGCTGGTATATTGGTATTTGCTAGAGTCCATGCCATGTATCTGAGCAAGATGTTCAGGACCTCTGGCAGAAAAATAGGCCCACAACATTAAAGATCCAGCAGCATATTTAACCGTGGGCATGGGGTACTTTTTATCCCTGTGTGCAGTGCACCAAACTTAATTCTTGTGTGCCAAAAAGCTCTTTTTAGCTTTACTTGACCACAGAACCCAGTCCCATTTGATGTACCAGTAGTGTTTGGCAGCTGAATATGCTGGAGTTTGGTTTTGGATGAGAGCAGAGGATTTTTCTTGAAACTCTCCCAAATGACTTGTGGTGATGTAGGTGCTGTTTGATATTTCTTGAGGCTTTCTGACCACAAGACTGAACTCATTTCTACAATTCTTTAGCTTTGAACCCTGTAGAGTCTTTGGCCACTCAAACTCCTCCTCCTTATCTTGTATTAAGACAATATAGACAGGCAGATTTGTAACATTTCTTGTAGATACAACTTGTGATTGATGATTAAGGGAATTTGGCCTTTGTGTTATCTCGTATCTATACCTTTCTGTGAAACTGGAAGTCATGGCTGAACAATTTCATGTTTCTAGTCACCTTGGTGTGCTAAAATATGTTAAATATGAGGAGGGATATACTTGAGAGATACTTTACACATAAGAATTTCCAGGGGTGGTAATAATTGTAGCTAACCTTTATTGGAAGAAAACAAAATTGTTTATTTTAGCTTAGATTTTTGTGAATTTTTTGAATGAAAGAGCAAAAGGATAAACAATGCAGATTTATTTTCTCAGCCTTTTTTTTTTTATCATATTAACCAAGGGTTACTATCGATCGATCTATCTATCTATCTATCTATCTATCATCATATGTAGGATACACACACACACACACACACACACATATATATTCATTTATGTATTTATGTATTCAGTTTAACATGCATGAAGACCGTGACAACTGCTGTCGCGATTAAAATTACATGTGAAAATGAAAGAAAAGTGTCAATTCGCGAATTGCATCAGATTGCTTTTACGCGGTTTTTTTTTCAGCGTTGAGCATTATAACCAATCACATAGATTTCTGTTTAGCTTATGGCCAATCAGGGGCTTTTAGGTCAGTCATTGCTGAAAACAACGAGTGCGCAAATTATGTGTGTGTTTCGTGGGATGACATATTTTAAGTGTTGTATATAGATTTGGTCAGTTAAATTGAACATTATTAATTTCTAAATGTGTTATTAGTTTCATAATGACAGCACCTCTCCATACACCTACTAAAAAGGTGAAAAACGGAGAGATGTTGCACGTGTAAGCTCCGCCGCGCCCTCCAGCGGTGACAGCGCAAGTCTCTCACAGCGGAAAACTAGTGCACTGCAGCTGAACGGCGCATTCGGTGAGAGGTCGGTAAAGCAGTCGAGCCTGCTCGTCGGCGAACCTCTCCCTCACTCGAATCCGTATCCACGTTGGAGTTTTGTCCTCAAAAATCCCGCAAGTCGAAGCGACAGGAGAATAATCGTAGTGCTGGACACACAGCTCGGATATTGCCGCGAACGCTGAGGGCTGAGAAATGGCAACGACAACTTGCACGCGCTTCACCGACGAGTACCAGCTGTATGAAGAACTTGGAAAGTAAGATTTGCTTTCTCTGCCGGTGTTTGTGCATAACCCGAGTGTCTTGTATTGATATCACACATTTCCTGAATGTAAATGCATATGCAAAAGCCCAAAGGAGTTGTCAGGAAACATTCGAAGGAGTTGCGTTTAAATACTCCCACTACTGTTTAACTATATCGAGTCTATGAAGATAAACAGCGATCTGGTGATCATTTTGATAATGTTTGATGCTTTTTGGCATCAGAAATGCATCGAGTATCTGTCGGGAATCCTAAAGGCGTGTTGCATTTAAATACTCTGTTATCATATATGTTAAAATTAATGTTTACATATTTACTATATGCGCATGCATATGTTTTTTGCACGTTTGAACTCGATGCATCTCGTGCAGGATGCACAAAAGAGCTGTCAGGAAACATCAGAGTGAGTTGCATTCAAATACTCCCACTATGTTTATTTTAACTGTATGTGCTCATAAATATAAGCCGTCAGGGGTTAATTTTGAGGATATTGCATGTTTTGTGGCCCCTCTGGTGCATTTCATGCAGAAAGCTCAGAGGAGCTGTCAGGAAACATTAGAGGGGAGTTGCATTTAAATACACCCACCACTGTGCATATTACAGTGAATATTTATGTGCATACAGACAGTCTCTGATTATAAAAATGAGCATGCAGGTGTTAAATCTGAGGATGTTGCATGCTTTTTATATGCTGTCTGGAAAAATAATGGGGAGTTGCTTTGAAATGCATTAACTAAAGAGCTCTTATAGTGAGTGTATTGAATCAAAGATAAAACATGATCAATAAGGGGTTAATTTAAAGGATATTGCATGTTAATGTAGAGATATTGTGTATCTAGAATGCACAAGGGAGTTGCATTAATATGCATGGGAGTATTTAACATAATCCTGAGAATATTGCATGGTGCATTTCATGCAGAAAGCTCAGGAAGCATTACAGCAACTTACAGTGAGTTTATTTCATATGTCTGATTATAATTATCAGCTGTCAGGGGGTTATTTGGAGGTTGTGTTCAGTGTGATACATTTGAGAGTATAATCAGGCCAAAAGGTCACTACATTTTATCTCTAAACTCTTTGAAAAATTATCCTATAGGTACAAAATTTAAAAGGTACATTTTTGTACATTATTTATCCCTAAATGCTACATATTAGTATCTTAAAGTACACATTATTACTTTAAAATTACATAGTAGTATCTAAAGTGTACATTTTAATATATTTAGACAGTTTTGTACCCTTTTTCTGAGAGTGTATATGAAGGGTTGATACAGTGTATCAAGAGTTCTATAATAATGAACGTTACAATGTATCATAAACTCTGGTGAAGGGGTGAAGCAGTGAAGGGTCGCTACATTGTGTTGTTCTGTCCTGTGACATTTGGAGCTGTGAGTGCTGCCCTGCCCTGTTTGCTGATTTGGAGCTGTGAGTGGCCCTGGCGGCTGTTTGCTGTCTATAATCTGACTGTGTGTGTGTGTGTGTGTGTGGCATGCCAGCGGCCTGACGTTAGGAAATAATTTTACTCTCTCAGCCCCCCCTACTTCTCCTCCAGTCAGTCAGTATTGCGTTTCTTTTGCACCTTTTTTCTCCCGAATTATTAAACAGGCCCTGTGTGTATCACCCACAATCATATAAACACACAGATAGTAGACAGACTTCTCTCATAAGCTATTTCATAGTTTCATACCTTTTTAAACTTCTCGTTTTTATAAATACTCTGTGGGTTTCATTTTCAGTTCATCTCAACGTAGTGTATATTCCCGCTCACAGAGGAGAAATAGACATTTTTAAAAATCTTTTTAAACGTTTTGTATTTGTGATGTTTCAGCAGATCTTCACCATACTGAACTGAATATTTGACCACATCCTCAGTTTGTGGTGGAGACATGCATTTTAGCCTTTTCTTAACAGCTTTAACAGCTTTTTTTAGATAACTGTACACATCATGCATACTGTAAGTAAATAGACATAAAATATATATATTCATTTGTAATGTTATATAGAAATATTTTTTATAAATATAAATTATGAAATTTTATCGCCATTTTTGAACTGATTTTGGGGTTTAACATCAAGTTCAATGGTGTATTTTCTTCTCTGTCTGTTTCTTCAGGGGGGCCTTCTCAGTGGTGCGACGTTGTGTCAAGCTGTGCACGGGCCAAGAATATGCTGCCAAAATCATCAACACCAAAAAGCTTTCTGCAAGAGGTAAATCATGACTGCTGGAAAATGTTTTTGGGCAGGGAAAAGGGGGTTGGTTTGAACTTTGAGATAGATGATATGGCTAAAAAACCTGTGGATATTTTCAGGTCTTTTAAGGATATTTGATGCATACCTTAATATTAATGTATAGTGGACTGAAATGGCTTGAAATAATGGGTTTGTTTCAAGCAAACAGCTTGAAATTAATTAAATGATATACTTTGCTTACATAAAATGTGCATAATTTTTGGAGTTAAATTTTTACCATTCAGAACTTTGGGGGTTGGTAAGATTTTTTAAGTTTTGAAAGATTGTCACCAAGGCAGCATTTATTTGATCAACAATACAGTAAACAATAACAGTAATGTTATGAAATATCATTACAATAATTACATAACATTTCTATTATATTTTTTATAAATATAAATTATGAAATTTTATCTATCTATCTATCTATCTATCTATGTTTGTGTGTAGTGTATGTAAAAAAAAAAAATGACCTCAAACTTTTAAGAAATATTTCTTGATCACCAAATCAGCATATTAAAATGATTAGTCCGGCTGCTTTGCCATCACAGGAATAAATTCTATTTTGAAATATATTTAAACAGAAAACTGTTATTTTAAATTGTAATAATATTTCACATTAATACTGTTTTTAACGGGATTTTTTTGATCACATAAATAAATGCAGCCTTGGTTATTATTATATTATGTAATATATTATTATATTATGAATTCAATAACATTTCATGGTTTAATTTAGTTATAGGATTATGACTTTGACTGGTGACTGGTTTTTTGGGTTTGTGAGCATGTTTTCTGCTGCTGCTAAACACCTCAGCAGCCTGCGCAGCTCGGCGGTTCGGTTTTCCTGACAGGCCGTCGGCAGTAAATCAGCTCAATGTCTCCGCTGAGACGCTCAGGCTGTTTCCAGCACTTATGAAGCCACACGTTTGCTAACAGACAGACGGATCTCCGGCCTCCACCCGGACTCATGACCTTCTGCTTTATTAGTCCAGAAGTTTCTTCTTCTTCATTCTTCTTGAACGTGTTGTTTCCCTCACACTGGCAAGCAATAATTGATTTCATTAACTATAATGCATGATATTAGTGGTTGACTGAGTTTATTGGCTGATATTTGGCATTTTTTTAATTATCGGCATTGGCTGAAAAGTTTTTCTTTTTTGATCGATAAATGTCACAAGTGGGACTTCTATTGTAACAGCTTTGTGATCTTTTACTTTAGTAAATACCAAAAGGATTATTATTAGTAAATATTATGCTAAATCAATTTAATCGCAGCAGTTGTTATGCTTGTGTTATTTACGATCTTTAAATTAAATAATGCAATTTCATATATATTGGCTTCATGTCAGCCATCATAAAACATATATTGTCACCCACTACATTATACATGTTAATGTGTTCATATGCTGACCTTACTGCAATCTGCAATAATGGCACCATGGTACAGTAATGATATCAGATGGTAATACTATGGTACTTCATTACCATATGCAAATATCATTGTATTGAATTATATGCAGTATATATTTATATCTAGGCCAATATTTGATGTTTAATTTTGCATTCACAAAGAGTTAATCTTTAAAACACGAATAATTTAATAGTTTAAAGGTGGGGTAAGCGATTTTTCAAAAACGCTTTAGAAAAGGCACAGATCCCTAAACAAGACCATATCTGCAGATGAAACTTTTTTGTAGAAGCATTTTTTATATTTGAACTAGCACCTCATGACTACACCACGTTATGTACGAGAAGCTGCAAAAGACACCGGCGCAAGTGGAATGTACAAAACATGGTGACATTAATTAAGTAAATATAATGGGCGATATATTGCGTCACCAAAAATTATTGCGGTCAAGTACATATATTGCTCGATAAGTCGATATATTGATTATTGGTCGGTGAGGGGCGGGAAGTCACGGATCCGGAGCGGCTGCTTGAGACATGTGTAACTGTAACAAGGTGTGCTAAATTTAGCCAGTAAGAAATGACATCAGACCATTATCATGACTGTCTCCAGTGATTTTCATAACGCAGGTCTTTCTGAAAATAGACTCAAGGAGGCTTTTGAAAGACAGAGTGTGTTCTACATTTTGCTCCCATGTGAATATCATGAATATTTGCGTATCAAACACCTGCGTGAGGTAGATGTGCATAACTGTTATTCTTCTTAACAGTTCACCCAAAAATAAAACATTTGCTTGCATGGAACACAAATAGAGAACACAAGTGTCCCTTTAAGCCATTTTTGAACTGATTTTGGGGTTTAACATCAAGTTCAATGGTGTATTTTCTTCTCTGTCTGTTTCTTCAGGGGGGCCTTCTCAGTGGTGCGACGTTGTGTCAAGCTGTGCACGGGCCAAGAATATGCTGCCAAAATCATCAACACCAAAAAGCTTTCTGCAAGAGGTAAATCATGACTGCTGGAAAATGTTTTTGGGCAGGGAAAAGGGGGTTGGTTTGAACTTTGAGATAGATGATATGGCTAAAAAACCTGTGGATATTTTCAGGTCTTTTAAGGATATTTGATGCATACCTTAATATTAATGTATAGTGGACTGAAATGGCTTGAAATAATGGGTTTGTTTCAAGCAAACAGCTTGAAATTAATTAAATGATATACTTTGCTTACATAAAATGTGCATAATTTTTGGAGTTAAATTTTTACCATTCAGAACTTTGGGGGTTGGTAAGATTTTTTAAGTTTTGAAAGATTGTCACCAAGGCAGCATTTATTTGATCAACAATACAGTAAACAATAACAGTAATGTTATGAAATATCATTACAATAATTACATAACATTTCTATTTGAATATCTGTTAAAATGTAATTTATTCCTGTGATGCAAAGCTGAATTTTCAGCATCATTACTCCAGTCTTCAGTCTAACATGATCCTTCAGAAATCATTCTGATATGCTGATTTGCTGCTCAAGAAACATATCTGATTATTGTCAATGTTGAAAACAGTTGTGCTGCTTCATATTTTTGTGCAAACCATGATACTTTTTCAATGAATAGAATGGCATTTGATTGAAATAAATTTGTTTTGTAACATTATAAATGCTACTTTTGATCAATTTAATGCATCCTTGCTGAATAAAAGTATTAATTTCTTTCAAAAAAATCTTTCTGAGCCCAAACTTTTGAAAGGTGGTGTATTCTAAAAAAGCATAAATCTAACAATAACCACAGTAAACCTTGCATTTGCCAATAATTCTGATGTAATTTCTCACAAACTTGATCTGTAAATTCAGTTATAATTTGGAGCAAAATAATAGTGATTATCAGTTTAACCATTATGCAGCATGACTAAAATGTTATTTGACTAAAACTAGACTAAAATTCCCAGACTTTGTCAACTAAAACTTGGACAAGACAGGTTGACTTAATATGATAAAAACTAAAAAGGACATTTGACACAAGACTAGGACTTAAAAAAACAAACAAACCGCTGACTAAATTGAAAATTCTGTCATCATTTACTCACCCTCAAGTTGATCCAAACCTGTAGGAGCTTCTTTCTTCTGCTGAACACAAAAGAAGATATTTTGAAGAATGTTGGTAACCAAACAGTTTCTGGTAGCTATACTATTGAAGTCAATGGGGACCATCAATTGTTTGGTTACCAACATTCTTTAAAATGTCTTCTTTTGTGTCTAACCCTTTACCACAAGTTCTAGCAGACCCCAAAAATGAAATGATGAACTTGTAAATAAGCGTAATATGGCCACTTTAAATGATTAGGTGAATATAAAGATGTCAGCACTTAGCCTAGTTGACATGTTTGTTGTGGTGCTCTGTGATATTTTGGGTGAACGTGTCTCTGTGTGTGTGTGTGTTTTGGGAAGCATTGGCCACACACGGGATAATCATACGGGCAGCAGGTCATCACAGGCAGCCTGACCATTTGGCACTCTGCTGACAGCGTGTCTGTGCGGCCAACATGCCAAGAGCCAGGGACTCGTGTACACGCTCGAACACACAACCACGGCTTCAAGTACTCCAACACCAGGGGCTTTTGTTTCTGAAACAAAGCCATGCCACGCATCAAGTGGAAAACATTCAGATTGTCGCTTCGTCATTGCTGCTGTTGTTTTGACTCAGCTCGTGACCACATCTGACACCTCGCTGTCCCCTGACGCCCATGCGACGATCCGCTTTCACTCATATATATATATATATATATAAAAAAATTTTTTTTCCAAGTTCCATATTTTTTTATTGTTTTAATTTTAATTTCAGTTTTTGTTAACTGTATTGAACCATGTTATCGGTCAGAACATTAAATTATTACCTATAAGCTTATTGGCATTAGCTAGAATTTTAACATTAATTACTAACATGGTAATCGACTAAAACTAGACTAAAATTCCCAGACTTTGTCAACTAAAACTTGGACAAGACAGGTTGACTTAATATGATAAAAACTAAAAAGGACATTTGACACAAGACTAGGACTTAAAAAAACAAACAAACCGCTGACTAAATTGAAAATTCTGTCATCATTTACTCACCCTCAAGTTGATCCAAACCTGTAGGAGCTTCTTTCTTCTGCTGAACACAAAAGAAGATATTTTGAAGAATGTTGGTAACCAAACAGTTTCTGGTAGCTATACTATTGAAGTCAATGGGGACCATCAATTGTTTGGTTACCAACATTCTTTAAAATGTCTTCTTTTGTGTCTAACCCTTTACCACAAGTTCTAGCAGACCCCAAAAATGAAATGATGAACTTGTAAATAAGCGTAATATGGCCACTTTAAATGATTAGGTGAATATAAAGATGTCAGCACTTAGCCTAGTTGACATGTTTGTTGTGGTGCTCTGTGATATTTTGGGTGAACGTGTCTCTGTGTGTGTGTGTGTTTTGGGAAGCATTGGCCACACACGGGATAATCATACGGGCAGCAGGTCATCACAGGCAGCCTGACCATTTGGCACTCTGCTGACAGCGTGTCTGTGCGGCCAACATGC